GTTTTGTTTTATGGGCCTGTCTAATCTTTGGATGAAGGGTGAACCTCAGGAGTGACTTCATTACTGAGCTAAAAGGGTGTCCGGGGGCCATACTCTCGGAAAGACATTCTTTGAATGCTGATGCCAAACAAAGTGGAATCCAAATCCTATATCCTCAGGATTGAGAGTAGGGCTCATATCTGCAGGTCCCCAAAATATATGATCTTAGAGAACAGATTGGGAAAGTGTCAGTGGCATAGATCCAATCATAGAGGCATTCTTCTTGAGCCTGGTGCAGTGCCTGGTGTGAGGTAGGCTCCTGATAAGTACTGCAGAATGAACTTTAATGAAGTATTGTTGTTAGTTGCCTTTGAGTCAGTTCCTGACTCATGGTGACCCCATGCACAATGGAATAAAATGCTGCCTGGTTCTGTGCCATCCCATGATTCACTGCAAATCAGACCATTGTGATCCACAGGGTTTTCATTGGCTAATTATTAGAAGTAGGTTGCCAGGCCTTTCTTCCTAGCCTGTCTTAGTCTGGAAGCTCTGCTAAAAACTGTCTAGCATCACAGCAACACACAAGTCTCCATGGACAGACGGGTAGTGGCTGCACATGAGATGCATTGGCCAGGAATCGAACCCAGTTCTGCATGGAAGGTGAGAATTCTACTACTGATCAGGTCATTTTATAAAGTGACAAGAACCAGCTTTGGAATAATCCTGCAGAATAAACACACCAAAATAGATTTCTTAGTGCTTGCTTTGAGAGGCCATGGTCTTATTTAAAGGCATCTGTCATCACTCAAAACAGTTCAGAACTCCTCTTTAGGAACTGCATTTGGTGCCATCTCAGGGGTCTTGTAAGAAATCCTGTCTTATTGTTTAGTTGCCATAACTCGTTCTGGACTTTTAGCCAACTAAATCAACAGATCAAAAGTAAATGCAATCTTCACCATGGGGTGCTTGACAAAGAGTGGGGACTTAGTTACTCCTTGCTGAGTGAATGGGTGAGAATGAGGTAACACTTTGAAGGACATGACTACCCCAGGCCATAGAATTGCATTTCCCTGGTACTTATCTAAGCTGTGCTAAAAATCCAGTCAAAATAAAGTACATAGACATCAATTCACCACTAAACCCATTGCCATCAAGTCGATTCCAACTCATAGCAACCCTACAGGACAGAGAAGAACTGTCCCATAGGGTTTCCAAGGAGCAGATGGTGGATTCAGACTGTTGACCCTTCGGTTAACAGCCCAGCTCCTTAACCACTATGACACCAGGGCTCCAATTCACCACTAGGATGGCTAAAGAGATGCATATCAGAAAACATCCATGCTGCCTCATTTTAGGTGGCTCTGGAGTCCTACTGGCACAGCAGTTAAGTGCTCGGCTACTAACTGAAAGGTTGGAGGTTCAAACCCACCCAGAAGCTCTGCAGGAGAAAGACCTGGCAATCTGCTCCTGTAAAGATTACACTCTAGAAAACCCTATGGGGCAGTTCTACTCTGTCAGGTGGAGGTTGCTATGAGTCGAAATCCACTTAAAGGCACCTAACAACAAGTGGAATCAATGCCCTCAGCGACCACCATTAAGCTGCTTTTCTACTCCTGCCTTAATTCATGTTGGGGTCAGGAGCTGAGTGAGCACATCAGCAGGTTCCCCTCCCCTTGGTCATGTGCCCTCTTGACACTACACCAAACCAAAAACCAAACCCACTGCTGTCGAGTCAGTTCCAACTCACAGCAACCCTCTAGGACAGAGTAGAACTTCCCCATAGGGTTCCCAAGGAGCACCTGGCGGATTCAAACTGCCAACCTTCTGGTTAGTAGACAAGCCTTTAACCATTGCGCCACCAGGACTCCTGACACCACACAGAGGGAGGAAAAGTCTCTTGGCTCTCTTCCTCTGTGCTCCAACTTCCTGCTCTACAGAAAGAAGACATTCTGAGCTCTGAGCTCTGTAGGAAAGGGAACGAGAAGGAAAAACAGCACGATTCTTTTAAGTCTTCACTGGTTGGGCAAATATTGTCAGCCTTGTGGATAGAAGCACATCCAAAAGCCAGGAGAAGTATAAAGGGTCCTTTCCCTGGGTGGTGCAAATGGTTAAGCACTCGACTACTAGCTGAAAGGTTGGTGGTTCGAACCAACAACCCATTCAGAGGCATCTCGGAAGACAGGCCTGGTGATCTGCTTCTGAAAGGTCACAGCCTTGAAAACCCTATGGAGCAGGTCTACTCTGCACACATGGGGTCGCCACGAGTCCGAACGGATTTAACGGCAACTAACAACAACTGTCAAGGCTGTAGAATTACAGTGGTTTCTGCAAATCTATTTATTTGCAAATTCGTAAGCATGTGCATGTAAGTGTGAATATGTGGGTGTGTATGTACTGGGTGTGTGTGGGTGTTTGCATGCAAGGGTATGTGTGCATGCGTGTGTGTGTGTGTGCGTGCGCACGCGCATCCCTTTTCAAATGATATTATTAGCGTTACATTTAAATTAGCTGGCTTGAAGATATCATTGGAGAGTAAAGAGTGAGAAAAGCAAACAGTTCATAAGCCTTGCAATAAACTTGATAAACAGCTCCACTAGTGAAGCACAAGAAGCAAAAGGTGTTTGGACATGATAGGGTTAACCTTCAAAGGAATCAGGCTTTTGGTTTTCCTAATTCAATAGCAGTTAAGCCCATTCAATTTCAAGGAGCCCCACTGCTTGTTATCAGGGCAGCCTGTGATTATAATTTTAGCCTTCAAACAAAATGGGCCTGAATTCTATTTACTGGAAGGTGAATTCAGCTTTTGAAATTTGCCGTCTGCATTCTGGATGTGTTGTAACTCAAAAACGACTAATCAGTGCGCTGCCGTGACCCTTCCCCACCCCATTTCCGCCTTCAAGACTTGGAGCAGGAGGCTGGCCATTTACTCTTTTTAAACTTGTGAGCATGTCGGTGTGTGTGGTGGAAACGGCTCCCTGCAACAAGATGCAGGAGAGTTACCTTGGAAGCTGCCTTCTTCATCAGCTCTAAAGCAAGCCGTCTGTTCTTTTTCACTCCTTGACCCTAAACAATGACAAATAGCAACAATGATTAAGAAACTAAACCCAGAGTGGACTCAAAAGCATCACAGATACATCAGTGTTCAATGCGAAATGCGGACAAATAAAAGCCAAATCTTCCAAACGAGAAACCTAATCTTAAAGAATTCCATATGCAACGATGTTACATTATCATCATCTTTATTTTGCTTATGTTTGGGGAGCAGAGGCAACAAACCTCAAAATCCCTGCTTAGTAGCGATATAAAATTCCCCATTTATCATAGGGTAAATTTCAGTCCCGTCAGTCAGGGTGGGCTGTTAGGAGAAGCCGTGGAGAAGGTTTAATGAGTTTGGCCATCCTAAATGTATTCTTTGGGGGATTATCTAATTTTCCAGCCAGATGAATCACTTTATCTGCATTGGAGAGTCAAGAGTTATTAGGCTGTGACTTGCAGCCCTGCTCATCCTGGCTGGAGTCCCCAGGGAAGAACACCATAGCTTCAGAGACAGCTTTAGGTCCAACTGTGAAGGGGACAGGACCCCTCAGAATCAGCTGTCACAGAGACTGACAGAAACCAACAGAGTTCTTCCAGCAAAATCCAGTTTCGCTAGCAGAAGTGGTTTGTCCAACAAGGAGAGAAATGGGCTTTGGGATGCTTGTTATAAGAGGAACTCCATGCAGTCACACGAATCAGCGTGGAGGCCCTTATGGAGAAATGGTGGGTCTGAGGGTGGGGCTTCCCTTGCCTGACAGTGAAGATGTCTGGCAAGGGAAGTCAGACTGAAAAAAAAAAACCCTGCCGCATCCAATCTCAGGCTGAGTCTATTAATGACATGCACACTCCATGTGACCCAAGGAGTCCTCCTGGACTCAGCCCCAGTCATTGACAGGGTCACATGTGTTCAAACTGTGAGACAGCTTTGCTACGTATATAGCTATTAACTCTATTTAAACACTTACTGTCCTTTGCAGCCACTGAGTGGGTCTCCGACTCATGGTGACCCCATGCATAATGGAAGGAAATGCTGCCCAGCCCTGAGCCATCCCCATGATCAGCCGATTCACAGGCTTTTCACTGAATGATTTTGGAAGTAGATCACCAGGCCTTTCTTCCTAGTCTGTCTTAGTCTGGAAGGTCCGCTAAAACCTGTTCACGCATCATAGCAATAATCAAGCCTTCACTGACAGATGTGTGGTAGCTGTGCATGAGGTGCATTGGCCAGGACTTGAACCCCCGTCTCCCTCATGGAAGGCGAGAATTCTACCACTGGAAGATCAATACCCCCTTTAAATATGTAGCTTTCCATTAAATGAAGACAGTAATGGTGAACATTCCTGTGTTAATTAGTGTGGGCCAAGCATTGTCCTTTCATGTATTATCTCATCTAATCCTTATAGCAACCCCATACAAGGTTTTTCTATTATTCCCATCTGAGGCACCAAGAGGCCATGAAAATTGCCCAGAGTCACAAAGAAGGGTAAGAAGGATTTGAACCCAGGTAAGTGAGCTCCCTGGGTGGTGCAAACGGTTTGCACTAGACTACTAACCAAAAGGTTGGCCATTCAAATCCACTCAGCAGTGCCACAGAAGAAAGGCCTGGCAATCTACTTCCATAAATTGCAGCCATTGAAAATCTTATGGAGCACAGTTCTGTTTGAAACACATGGAGTTACCATGAGTTGGAATCAATTCGACCGCAATAGGTTTGGGTTTTTTTTTTTTTTTTTTTTTAGGTGGGCTCCAGAGTCCAAGCTCGTAACCACCACACTATATTTTCCCTTATACATTTCAGTTTTATGCTAAGGGTAACAATTCTTAATCTCCTTATACAGGATATGTTTGTCTTTATATTTTTAGGACCCAAGATAAAATCAGGAATCCAGTTATAGGTTAAAATGCATGAACCAGGTTTCTACTAAACTTTAACGTACCTGTTTAATAAAACCAATGAATTGAAGCAAAGTGGAAGATCAAAATATTTTTTAGACTGCATCATTACTTCATTTAATTAGAAAGGGAGAAGAAGGATAAAAAGACATAAAAGGCTACTTGAAAAAATTGGATGGGGCAGTGAGACAACTGTTTGGGCCTCTGGAAAAGCACTGAAAGACCAGAATCATAGAATATTAGAACCTGGCTTCTTAGTCATCTAGTGCTGCTACAACAGAAATACCACAAGAGGATGGCTTTAACAAAGAGAAATTTATTTCTTCACAGTAAAGTAGGCTAAAAGTCCAAATTCAGGGCATCAACTCTAGGGGAAGGCTTTCTCTTTCTGACGGCCTTCTCACCAATGTTCCTCTGGAATAGGAGCTTCTCTGTGCAGGGACCTCGGTTCAAAGGACGCGCTCTGCTCCCCGCACTGCTTTCTTGGTGGTATGAGGTCCCCCTGTCTCTCGGTTTGTTTCTGTCTTTGATATCTCAAGAGATTGCCTCAAGACACAATCCAATCTTGTAGACTGAGCCCTGCTTTACTAACACAACTGCCACCCATCCTCCCTCATTAACATCACAGAGGCAGGATTTACAACATATACGAAAATCATACAATACCAGGAATCATAGCCCAGCCAAACCGATACACACATTTTTTGGGGGGACATAATTCAATCCATGACACTGGATGAACTCATAGTTTATCTTCTCCAACTACTTTGTTTTAAAGGAATAGAACTGGGGCCCAGAGAGGTTGACTTGTCCAGAGCCTCACAGTTAAAGCTGCAACTGTTGCTGTTAGCTGCTGTCGATTCGGTCCTGACTCATGGCAACTCCATGCACAATGGGATTGGACCATTGTGATCCACAGGGCTTTCACTGGCTCATTTTCAGAAGTATATCTCCAGGCCTTTTTTTCTAGGTCCATCTTAGTCTGGAAGCTCCGTTGAAACCTGCTCAACATCATAACAACCTACAAGCCTCCAGTGATAGGCGGGTGGTGGCTGTGCATGAGGTATATTGGCCAGGAATCAACCCCAGGTCTTCTGCATGAAAGGTGAGAATTCTACAATTGAACGACCACAGCCCCCAGAGTTGCAAGTGTTGTTGTTATTGTTAGGTGCTGTCAGGCTGCAACCCTGTATACAACAGAACGGAACACCGCCAGGTCCTGTACCATCCTCACAATCGTTGCTATGTTTGAGACCACTGTTGCAGCCACTGTGTCAATCCATCTCGTTGAGGTTCTTCCTCTTTATCATTGACCCTCTAGTTTACCAAGCATAATGTTCTTCTCCAGGGACTATTTACTCCTGGTAAACATGTCTGAAGTACATGAGATGAAGTCTTGACATCCTTGCTTCTAAGGAGCATTTTGGCTATACTTCTTCTAAGACAGATTTGTTGGTTCTTCTGACAGTCCATTGTATATTCAACATTCTTTGCCAACACCATAATTCTTCTGTCTTCCTTATTCATTGTCCAGCTTTCACATGCATATGAGGCGATTGAAAATACCATGGCTTGGGTCAGGCGCAGCTTAGTCCTCAAGGTGACATCTTTGCTTTTTAACAGTTTAAAGAGGTCTCTTGAAGCAGATTTTCCCAATGCAATACATTGTTTGATTTCTTGACTGCTGCTTCCATGGGTGTTGATTGTGGATCCAAGTAAAATGAAATCCTTGACAACTTCAATCTTTTTTCTGTTTATCATGATGTTGCTTATTGGTCCATTTGTAAGGATTTTTCTTTTCTTTATGTTGAGGTGTAATCCATACTGAAGGCTGTAGTCTTTGGTCTTTGCATAAGAGCTGCAACTAGAACCCAGATATTCTGATTTTGAGGCCAGGGATTTTTCCAGTATACTTGCTATTTATCCAGAAGTGGGGTACCTTCTTGTACAAAAACTATGCACTACACACAAATTGGAGTAGTGCTGGAAGTAGTTAAATGAGATAAATAGAAAGTCCTCATACACAGTGAAACCAAAATAACCAAGCCCATTGCCATTGAGTCAATTTTGACTTACAGTGATTCTACAGGACAGAGTCGAACTGCTCCACAGGGTTTCCAAGGCTATAGTCTTTACGGAAGCTGACTGCCACATCTTTTTCCGGTGGAGTGACTGGTGGGTTCAAACTGCTGACCTTTTGGTTAGCAGCTGAGTGCTTAACCACTATGCCACCAGGGCTCCTTCATACATGGTAAGTACTCAGTAACAATCCACTAAATGTATTAATGGAGGACAGTTGCTGCAGTGCATGTAAAAGCTTCACTCTTATGGGACTCAACTGACATGGACAAACCATGATCACCGCCCCCATGACGCCATCTTGAATATAATAAGCTTACTACCCACACACAGACATATGCACGATACTGCTCTTTACATTTGGAAAGCCCCTTTCTTGCATGGGGTTCTTTTTTTTTTATTGTACTTTAGATGAAGGTTTACAGAGGAAATTAGTTTCTCATTAAACAATCAATACACATATCATTTTGTGACATTGGTTGCTAACCCCACGACATATCAACACTCTCCCCTTCTCGACTTTGAGTTCCCTATTACTAGCTTTCCTGTCCCCTCCTGCCTTCTCATCCTTGCCCCTGAGCTGGTGTACCCATCTAGTCTTGTTTTAGTCTATGGGTCTGTCTAATCTTTGGCTGAAGGGTGAACCTCAGGAGCGACTTCAGTACTGAGTTAAAAGGGTGTGCGGGGGCCTTACTCTTGGGGTTTCTCCAGTCTCTGTCAGACCAGTAAGTCTGGTCTTTTTTTGTGAGTTAGAATTTTGTTCTACATTTTTCTCCAGCTCTGTCCAGGACCCTCTATTGTGATCACTGTCAGAGCAGTCGGTGGTGGTAGCCGGGCACCATCTAGTTGTGGTCTGGTGGAGGCTGTGGTAGTTGTGGTACTTTGGACTAATCTTTCCCTTGTATCTTTGGCTTTCTTCATTCCCCTCCTACATGGGGTTCTTTTGCAAAGGGTTCTTTCACTTGAAGAGACCTCATGGCCAAAAGTGAAAATCTGCCCTGAGACACGGATAAAGGGCTTCCCTCATCCCACCTAGGGATAACTTAGAATGCAGGAAAACCAAAAAATCTTAAAGGCTGGGGAAATCAGACTCTGAGGAAACGCTGTTGTTATTAGATCCCTCGAGTTGATTTTCGACTCATAGCAACCCCCATGTGACAAAGTGGAATGCCCCACAGGGTTTTCTAGACTATAATCTTTAAGGGAGCAGATTGCCAGGTCTTTCTCCAGTAGAGCCTCTGGGTGGATTTGAACCATCAACCTTTCAGTTAGCAGTTGAGTACTTAACCATTACACCACCTGGAAACATACCTATACCCATTGCCACTGAGTCAATTCTGACTCAAAGTGACCCTATAGAACTGCCCCCTAGGGTTTCCAAGGCTGTAATCTTTATGGAAGCAGACTGTCACATCTTTCTCTTTCAGAGAGGCTGGTAGGTTCGAACTGCTGACCTTTTGGTTGGTGGGTGAGCATTTAACCACTGTGCCACCAGGACTACTTCCAGAAAATATTACATCACATTTATTTATGTATTTGCCTCTCCCTCCAGACTGAGAGCTCCTGGTGGGCAGAAATAATGTCTGATTCATTGCTTTGTCTTCTCTACACTTTGGATAGTGACCAGCCACAACTCTGGTGGTCAGGTGCCTCTCCTCTGTGCCTGTCTCTGTCTTCATCTCTGTTCTCTTCCTTCCCCATCAGTGAATGAGCCCCTGAGGCCAGGGAACATGTCTTTTGCATCCATACACCCCTCAGTCTAGCACAGAGTTTGGCATCCTTCAATGGCTGTTTGTTGAATCAATGTATGAGTGCATTGGAATATGGCTAAGATTCAAACAATTTCTATGTTGATTTGAAACCTGGAAAGAGAAGGCCCAGGCTCTAAGTCTGGAAACCATAACAACCAACAGGTTTTAAGGCTTTGGTGGGGCTTAGAGAGTTAGAAATGTAGCAGAAGTCATGGTTTAACAGTGAGTGGCCACAGCTGCGGTCCTGGCGATGGGCCTGGCTACGTGAACACATAGCCTTGTTTGAAGACACTTGCTATTTAGGGGCAGCTGCTTTCTTCAAGCACAGACATAGAGTCTAAGAGCCAACAGAATTTTATTTTTCAAAGATTGGTGAATTTATATGTCTATGTTTGGAGTGGAGTGCACAGATCCTAAAGCCAGACTACCTGGATCCCAGCTCTGATATATTTACCAGTTGTATGACCTTGGGCAAGTTACAAAACCTTTTTGTGCCTCTGTTTCCATTTATATAAACAGGGACCATAATTCACTACGGTACCTCCACCACCCACCCACTGCCATCGAGTCGATTCTGACTCATAGTGACCCTATAGGACAGAGTAGAACTGCCCCATAGGCCATAAATCTTTATGGAAGCAGACTGCCACATCTTTCTCCTATGGAGCGGCTAGTAGATTTGAACTGCCGACCTTTGGGTTAGCAGCCAAGTGCTTAACCACTGTGCCACCGGGGCTCCTTCTAAATGAGTTAATATATACGAAGTACGTAGTAAGTGCTCTATCAGTAAGAGTGAACTATCACTATTTGGCGTAAGACACAACATTTTATAGTTCTCAAAGCCCATTGGTTTATGTTATCTCATTCAACCTGAGGTTGTTACCACTGTCACACGACGTCAGGTGACTCCAAGGATACACACCTGATGGTGGCAGAGGTGGGACTTTAACTCCCATCCTCTGTCTCCTGGGCCAAAGCTCTTGCCACCCTTTTCCCATTCTCTCATTGGCTTAAAACCAAGATCTTTTTTTTTTTGTGTGTGTGTGTGAAAGTATACACAGCCAAAGATACACCATTTCAAAAATTTCTACATATACAATTCAGTGACATTGATTACATTCCTCAAGTTGTGCTACCATTCTTGCTATCCTTTTCCAAATTATTCTCCCACCAGTAACATAAACTCACTTCCTCCCAAGCTTCCCATCCAACCTTTCGAGTTGCCGTTGTCAGTTTGATCTCACAAATATAATTATTTAAAAGAGGACAATGCTCAAAGTAGATGTACTTTACTAATTAAGAGAAGCTATTTTTTGGTTTGAAGAAACCTTCAGGGGATAGTTTTATTTTAAGGTTTAAAGTTCAAAGATTACCTCAGGGCAAAAGTTCCGGGGGTTCATCCAACCAAGATCTTTGCTTTGATCAATGGCATTATTGGGACTCCATCCAAGCATACACTTTAAGAGGTGATTCGATGAGAACTCTACCTGGGGGTGAACTTGCAGCATCCTTGGGGGCTGGCAGCCCTGCACCAATCCATAGATGTGGTGTCTCCTCCAGAATGCATGCTTCTTGCAAAAGCAGAGAGAACCCAGGTGCCACACATAGGACTAATGATTAAAAATGATGCTGGGGAAGTGCCTCTGACTCTGCCTTCTTAGCAAATATCCCTTTCCATCAAAAGTGACAGAGCATAAACTAAGTTTCTTCAATTACAGACTCCCTGTTTGCCTGCACGCCTACAGGAAACGGCTCCGGAAGTCTGATAAGAATTGCACAATTTCAGTACAAATTAAGTGAGTCTTACCTTGAATAACACAATGGCGTAGTCATATATTAACGCGGGATCCTCCGTCTCCAGTGCGCCCTTGGCATACCACTCGATTGCTGCCTCGGGGTTCTTGGCCACACCTTGCTGCCCCCAGAACAGCATCTGGGCCAATCGTTGCTGAAAAACAATAGCAATTTAGAATAATGACTTTCCTGTGTAATGCTTAATATAGACTTTTAAAGGCAGAAGGAAAAACAGTTGAGTATATTTTTATACTGAGAACCAAGATTTAGCTACTTATACTTCATCTTCTGGTATAGACTGAATTGTGACCACCACCCCAAAATATATGAAAACCCTAATCCCTGTACCTGTAAATAGGGCCCTGTTTGGAAAAAAGGGTTTTCTTTTGTTATGTCAGTGAAGACATGCCAGAGTATTGTGGGTTCCTAAGCCTAATCACCTCTGAGTGGTGTCTTATAAACAGCAGAAAAGATGCAGAGACAGACACACAGGGGAAAGACAGATGCCACCTGAGGACCCATCTACAAGCAAAGGAACGCCAAGGATTGCTGGCAGACACCAGAAATGAGGAGAGAGGCCCACAGAAGGAATTGACATGGCAGAGACCCCCCCGATTTGGATTACTAGCCTCCAGAAATGTGAGACAATAAATTTCTGTTCTTTAAAGCCACATTTGTGGTATTTTTGTTATGGCAACACTAAGAAACTAAGACATCTTCCAAGTGGGGGTTAACGTCCTGAAGGAAGACTTATGCAAATATAAATCCTTAACACAAGGCAGAAATTGTGTGTGTGTGTGTATGTGGGGGTGGGTGTGGGTATGTATCTACTTCACCTAGTACCAGAGCTGGATGGCACTTGGTCAACAATCACAACTTTCTCCTCAAATTCCTCTTCATTTTTGAGATATTCCCTGTCGTCTTGGCCCAGTGAATGCCGTGGTGCTCTCTCTGTACACTGTAAGTCTTCGGGCATCTCTCTACAGCACTTATTGATCTTCTCCTATCACATCATTTGTCTACATGGTCAACTCCACCATTAGACTCGAGGTTGTGAGATGTTATTCAAGATGCTATTTATAATTGCCTCACCCTCTCTGCCCTCACCCAGCAGAGCCTGGCACACAGAAGTCACTCAACAAAGACTTACTGAATAAAGAAAGAAGAAAGAAATGTTCATTGTTAGGAAAGTTAATGCAAGCTCTGGAGGACCCAGGAAATGGCTCTAGAAGTGGCATTTCCAGAACTATGTACTGGAATTTCTTCCCACGCTAGAATGACTGCAGGCCAGGGACAAATGTCCAAGAACGGGGTCAGGGGCAATGTTTGTTAACATTCTGACCCCATGTGGGTCCCTTATTGTCTTTCCTTCTTCCTTCTCTTTTTCATTGCTGTTGAAATTATACACAGCAAAACATACACCAATTCAACAATTTCCACGTGTACAATTCAATGACGTTGATCACGTTCTTCAAGGTAAGCAACCATTCTCACTCTCCTTTTCCAAAATGTTCTTCTTCCATTGACATAAACTCACTGCCCCCTAAGATTCCTATCTAACTTTTCCAGTTGCTGTTGCCAATTTGATCTCACGTAGACAGTTCTTTAAAAGAGCATAATGCTCAAGCCTGTCCTTCCTTCTGTCCTTCCTCTCATCTCCTTCTCTTCCTTCCTCCCCCCATATACTTAAAACTTCCAGCCAAGTATCTCCTGAAATACTAAGATAACCTCTCCAAAGGGGTGGAAGACCTATTAGAAAAGAATGTTTGAGTCTCTGAAATGTTTGCTTTGCCAATACCTCTGATTTTTTTTCTTTCCCAATACCTCTGATTTTTTTCTTTCCCTTTCTCATCTCTGGTCTTCTGCCTGCTTAGCAGCCCCAGAGGCTCTTCCCTGCACTCCTCTGTTCACCAGGAGCACTAAGCAAAGGCTGAATCCTTATTGTGGGAAGGAGGCTTCCTCTGGATGCAATCAGCCTTAACCTGTTCCCACCAAGGGCCTGCCTCTATAGTGAAATCAAGGAAAGGAAACAGAGGATGTTTTCCCAGCCTTCTGCCCTTTCTTGTCCTCTTAAAAGTCTATCCAGAAGACAAGAGATATTTAAAGAGATAAGGTTGATCCTTTTGGGATAACATGTCATACATGATTTCTACAGTGTTCTCTTCTCCTGGCTGAATTCACGGTCCTCTTCTTGATGCCCATCTAGTCTCTCCTGGTCCTCAAGATGCTCCTTTTTATTTCTACCTGATGCATCAAAATATCTGACAGTAGTCTTTAGGGCTGCTCATAAATGCTGTGTCTCTCTCTCCTCTGAGTACTTGGTAGGACCACACTTCTAGCCCTCCTGAAATCAAGAGCAGCCATGTGCTGGCTCTGGCCAATGAAATGTGGGAGGTAACTTGGGCCACTTCTGAGCAGGAGCTTTCAGAACCAGCCTGCGAAGCACCACGGCCATCACCCAGCTGCAATGGTCTTGGAAACACGTGTTGAGACGACACTTCTATCAGTTGGGCTCCTAAGGGAGAACAAGAGCAGAGCCCTTCCTAATCCACACTGGACATGTAGAGTGGGCGAGGAATATGTTGTTTTAAGCCCCTGGGATTTGAGATATTTTGTTACTGCAGCATGTTGTTGTTGTTACTTGCCATCGAGTAGGCCCTGACTCATGACAACCCCATGCACAACGGAACCAAACACTGCCTGGTCCTGTGCCATCCCAGTGATGCGTTGCAGATCCAACAGTTGTGATCAATAGGTGTTTTTTTTAAACTGGCTGATTTCCAGAAGTAGATCACCAGGCCTTTCTTCCTAGTTCAATTGAAGCTCTGCTGGAATCTGTTCAGTGTCATTGCAACACACAAGCTTCCATTGACAGACAGGTGGTGGCTACACATAAGTTCACTGGCTGGGAATCGAACCCAGGTCTCCCACATGGAAGGCAAGAATTCTACCACTGAACCACCACTGCCCTCTACCGCAGCACACCTGGTCTGTTAAGACCAATGGACTGGCCAATTGAGTGGAATGCCCTCTTACCTGAGCTGCTGCACTGCCTCGGGTGGCTTCATGCTTCAACCACATAAAGACGTCTCCATCTTCCTTGGTTTGTACTTTGAGTATTTCATCATCTTTCAGTCTAATTGTTTCAACATATGCCTGAAAGAGAAAGAAAGGAATGAAGAACTAAAGGGAGGCAGGAAGGGAGGAAGAAGAGGAAATGCCCAAATAATATGGGCATGCAAAAGTCATGACATTATATATTCCTAAACCAGCAGTTACTCAAGCAAAAATTCTATGAATAGTTGAAATATGAGGCATGTCTATAACACAGTAAGACCAAATTCTTTTTAAATGAACATATCACATCTCAGGTATCTGAATGTTTGTTCCTATCAAACTTTCCACCTTGGGAGGCCAAAATTTATTCCACTTCCACTTCTATCACTCAAGCTTGTCCAGAAGTTCACATTGTGCAGCTGATTTTAGAGTCAGATTACACACAGCATCAAAAAAGGAAAATCAATATTTTCTAAGTATAACCTTATTTTTTATCCCAAAGTGTTCTTATCCTGCATGACTAACCCCTTTTATTTAACAGGCTCAGCTTCAAATGACTTTTGGCTATTTCCAAAAATTAAATCTACCCTGAAAAGAAGAGGGCCCGTTACCTCCGAGGAGGCAAAAAAGAATGTGCTGGAGGCTCTAAAGACGATCCCAAAGGGAAAGTTCAAAAAACGTTTTGAATTTGCACACAGCCTCCCAGGTATCTGACTTCTTTGAAGAAAATAAGACTCATTTCGGTGTATAAATTTTGGCTGCTTATCAAAAACCAGTCCCGTTGTTTCATCATCTCCACTTACACACGATGCTTTAAGTGCCGTGAGGGGGTCCTGGAGAGGGCTTTCATGCCCAGCACTGATGGTGAAAGAATTGGATCGGGACCTGCTGGGGAAAGAAGCCCCATAGAACAAGGAGTCAGGCCTGATTTCCCTTCTGACCCTCTTTGTCTGTTAGTTGAGAAAAGTCCTCAGAATCACAGACTTTAGTCTGCAGCCCCATTCCTTAGAACGTCCCTCAGCTGCCTCCTCTACTGTGGCTGTGTGGAGCCAGACATCCCTTTCAAGGGCGTTAGGGGGCTGAGAGTTCCTGGTGGTGAAAATGCTTAAGCCTTCGACTACTAGCTGAAAGGTTGGTGGTTCCAACCCACCCAGAGGTACCTCAGAAGTCAGGCCTGGAGATTTGCTTCCAAAATATCAGAGCCTTAAAAACCCTGTGGAGCAGTTCTACTCTGCACACACTGGGTCGCTATGAGCCGGCGCTGACTTGACAGCAACTAATGACAGCAATAAGGGGCTGAGATGAGTGTAGAACCTCGGTAGTGACTGAGATTTGGGGACTGTCCCAGGATTCAGAACACAGCCAGTATCAATTTCTGATGGGTGTCTCATCTAGGGAAGCCACCAAGCTGATATTAACAATTAGAAGAATGATACCCACTACCATTTTGAAACTTACTCTGAGCCAGGTGCTTCACATGTATTTTTTCCATTTCATCTTCACAACAGGTTTGCGACCCAAGTACTACTGCCCCCAATTTATAGGAAAAGAAACTGAGGCTCAGAAAGTGAAACAATGAAGCCCAGGTCACATCTGTAAAGCTGGCACTGGATGCTTGGATGGTTTGACTCCAAAGACAGAGTTCTTACCCACTCCCCCATGAGGTCACCCTCTCATGAGAAGGCTCTGGAATCCCAATCTGGGCACAAGTCACTCTATCTGGTTCTCTCTTTGCAAAGTGTATGACCAGTGACTCCCGGGTCACTCTCTACTTTACAATCAACCTGGAATTGGGCTGGAACTTGTGCTGCTCTGATAGGGAATTATCAGCTGGAGGCTTTTTGCTCAACTGGAAGTTTGGGTGTTTTGATTTTGGGTTGTTTTTCTTCTTTTGTTTTTTTATTGTACTTCAGATGAAGGTTTACAGAGCAAGTTAGTTTCTCATTAAACAATTAATACACATATTGTTTTGTGACATTGGTTGTCAATTGTTTCTCTTCTTCTTGTTGTTTTGTTTTTCCCTCCTTTTCCTTCTCCTTGTCGTGGGACTTGAATGAAAGACATAACAAATGAAGACACAGTTCCTATCCTGCAGGGATTTATACTTTTAGGTGTTTCACCATCAACATCCCCATTTTACATACGTGGAGGCTGAGGCCCAGAGAGGTTAAGTAACTTGCCCAAGGTCATATATTTAGTTCTTTTAATTTAGGAGTCAAACCCAGGCCAGCTGGCTGTGCAGCCCACACTCTTCATACCAGTCTCACAACTCTGCAAAGCACTCGATGTATCTGGGCCAAAGCCAATGGTGCTGGGTGAAGGCCACATTTCCTGGAAGAATCAGAGCAATTGTACATATAACTCTGTGAAGAAGAAACTCTTTCATCTTTTTTTTTTCTTTGCACTTTAAATGAAAGTTTACAGTTAAAGTCAGTTTCTCATACAAAAATTTATACACACATTGCTATGTGACCCTAGCTGTTCTCCCTATAATGTGACAGCACACTCCTCCTTTCCACCCTGGATTTCCTGTGTCCATTCAACAGCTCCTGCCCCTTTTTGCCTTCTCACCTCACCTCCAGACAGGAGCTGCCCATTTAGTTTCATGTATCTACTTGAGCTAAGAAGCACTGTCTTCACAAGTATCAATTTATGTCCCACAGTCCAGTCTAATCTTTGTCTGAAGAACTGGCTTCGGGAATGGTTTCCGTTCTGGGCTAATGGAGAGTCCAGGGGCCATGTCTTCTGGGGTTCCTCCAGTCTCAGTCAGACCATTAAGCCTGGTCGTTTTACTAGAATTTGAGTTCTGCACCCCAACTTTCTCCTGCTCCGTCAGGGACTCTCTGTTGTGTTCCCTGTCAGGGCCGTCATTGGTCGTAGCTGGGTACCATCTAGTTCTGGTCTCAGGCTGATGGAGTCTCTGGTTTATGTGGCCCTTTCTGTCTCTTGGGCTAATATTTTTCTTGTGTCTTTGGTGTTCTTCATTCTCCTTTGCTCCAGGTGGGTTGGGACCAATTGATGTATCTTAGATGGCCACTTGCTAGCTTTTAAGACCCCAGAAGCCACTCACCAAAGCGGGATGCAGAACATTTTCTTAATAAACTTTGTTATGCCAATTGACCTAGATGTCCCCTGAAACCACGGTCCCCAGACCCTTGCCCCTGTTACTCTGTCCCTTGAAGTGTTTGGTTTTATTCAGGAAACTTCTTAGCTTTTGGTTTGCTCCATTTGTGCTGACATCCCCTGTACTGTGTGTTGTCCTTCCCTTCAACTAAGATAATTCTTATCTACTATCTAGTTAGTGAACACCCATCTCCCTCCTTCCTCACCCTCTTAACAGTCAAAGAACGTTTTCTTCTGTGTTTAATCCATTTCTTGAGTTCTTATAACAGTGGTCTTATACAATATTTGTCCTTTTGCAACTGACTGATTTTACTCAACGTAATGCCTTCTAGATTCATCCATGTTATGAGATGTTTCACAGATTCATCGTTCTTCTTTATCATTGTGTACTATTCCATTGCGTGAATATACCATAATTTGTTTATCCATTCGTCCATTGATGGGCACGGAGGTTGTTTCCATCTTTTTGCTATCATGAACAGTGCTGCAACTAACATGGGTGGGCATATATCTATTCGTGTGATGGCTCTTATTTCTCTAGGATATATTCCGAGGAGTGGGATTGCTGGATCGTATGGTACTTCTATTTCTAGCTTTTTAAGGAAGTGCCAAATCAATTTCCAAAGTGGTTGTACCATTTTATATTCCCACCAACAATGTATAAGTGTTCCAATCTCTCCACAACCTCTCCAACATTTATTGTTTTGTGTTTTTTGGATTAATGCTAGCCTCGTTGGGCTGAGATGGTATCTCATTGTAGTTTTGATTTGCATTTCTCTAATGGCTAATGATCACGAGTGTTTTCTCATGTATCTGTTAGCCACTGAAACATCTTCTTTGGCAAAGTGCCTGCTCATATCCTTTGCCAATTTTTTGTTTGTTTGTTTGTTTGCATTTTATTTGTATGAGCAAATGTATTTATTCATTCAAAAAAAATTAAGTACCTACTGGTGGCACAGTGGTTTAAGACCTCGGCTGCTAACCAAAAGGTCGGCAGTTCGAATCCACCAGCCACTCTTTGGAAACCCTGTGGTGCACTTCTGCTCTCTCCTATAGGGTCACTATGAGTTAGAAGTGACTCAACAGCAACAGGTTTATAAAACAGGCACAATGGTTTATACTAGCATAAAATAATGACCTAATCAGACAAGTTACTTGTCATTATGACGTTTATATTGGTTGAAGCATTTTGTTTATAGATATAATCTGAAAATAGAGAAATAAGAGACTTTAGTTACATTCACTTAACTCCAAATCCAAAATCCAAAAATTCCTCTTCATCTGTGAAATCTAGAATACAAGTTATCTGCTTCCGAAGGTACAATGGCAGAATAGGCACAAGCTAGACATTTCCATTACAAATGGGAGAAACTAGAGGAAAAGAAGCGATAACAGGCACCAAGCAAGTCAGCAGAACACATTACATTAGCCCTCAAGGCTTTGAAAATCATCTTCTGTTCTCTGAGACAGTTTACACAATATCCCTGCCCTCCAGACTCTAGGTGTTGGCCACAGTCTCTGGATTTTGAGTGGAGGCCCCTCGGCCCTGGGCTTCAGCTCTGCTTTCCAGGCCCACTGGGACAGCAACTCTGCTCCCTTGGCTTTAGGCGCACCATTCCCCTAGTCCATCGGAGTGATGGCTCCACCCTTTGAAACCCCTGAGGTCATGGCCATATCTTTTGAGGCTGAAGCAGCTTGGCTTCTTGTGTCCCTTGTCTCTTCAGTGTCTGCTTCCTATGGCCTCTCGGCCCTCGGGCCTCACACCCACATCTGCCCTGCTGGTGCAAGGGTTCCAAAGCTCAGTAGCTCCACCAGTAAGTGCCCGGAGGCACCCCACTCCGCCAGGAAGCCTCCGCCTCACAGGCACTCAGCTGTTTCGCTCCGTGGGTCGGCTCCAGTGCCGTCTCGCACAGGTCTCCTGGTTCTGCTGCTGTTGGTTCTCTGCGGCTGCTGGTCCTCTGTCACTGCCGCACGTC